CCTCCATGCTTCGTTTTCCTGGGGAAACTCTCTTAGGGAGTGAGAATTATGTAATTGCCTATATCTCCTTTTATATCCAGGCTACATGGAAACACAGGCCAAATGAGAATCTTAGAGTAACTGTGTCTAACCTCCAGGCTGGCATATTTGAATTCTCCTTTCTCTTTATCTGAATTTTTCACTTCCATTCATATCATTTGAGCAATGTTCTATTACATGTGACGGTTTTGGTGATTTGACGATATTCTTGGAAAGAAGCATGAAACACATAGATAATGAATTCATCAATTATTATTTTTAAAAGTATAAAAATTGGGACGAATTCACATCAGGTTAACTATTATTGGTTTGGTTCGTGCAGGGGGTATTATTCTCATTGGACTGTCTTAGAAAACAGCCTCAAATCCTGTCTTCTCTGTTTTACGAATAGTTTTTGTATTTTGAAGGAAAACAGGCATTCCATTCACAATCTGGTAAAAAAAAAACAGTGACAGTGTGATTCTGCGGGCCACACAACCTGTCCCTACCCCAAACTAGCAGCTCAGCATTGTTGCTTCTCCCAGATGAGGGTCAGGGGTTAGCCAGCTGGTCCAGGCTCGGCGGCAGACACGCTGACACTGGAATCCTGCACCACACAACCTCCCCCTCAGGTGGCCCCCGAGCCTGGGCAAGTTCTCTTTGGTTCTCAGCAAATCACGTTGATCGACACTGGTTTGGGGATCAAATTCTCTTCAAATCAATGACAACTAGAGACATTACATCACACTCCAGGAGTTCTGGGGATGTCCAGGCAACTTCTGGAAATGCAACGTCATCATTTTGCCCAAGTTTACAGCAACGACAGGATTTTCTAAGCCGAGTCAGCTGCATCTCCGCCCAGCATGGCAATCACCTCCTCCCTTCTCCATCGCCCACTGATGGGCTTTGCTGCTCAAGAAAAAAAGGAAGGGGCTTCCCTGGTGGCGCAGTGGTTGAGAGTCCGCCTGCCGATGCAGGGGACGCGGGTTCGTGCCCCGGTCCGGGAAGATCCCACGTGCCGCGGAGCGGCTGGGCCCGTGAGCCATGGCCGCTGAGCCTGCGCGTCCGGAGCCTGTGCTCCGCAACGGGAGAGGCCACAGCAGTGAGAGGCCCGCAACCAGCAAAAAAAAAAAAAAGAAAAAAGAAAAAAAGAAAGGCTAAGGTGGAGTGGGGAGTTTGGGGTTAGCAGATGCAAACGATTACACTTAGCATGGATAAACAACAAGGTCCTACTGTACAGCACAGGGAACTATATTCAATATCCTGTGATAAACCATCATGGAAAAGAATATGAAAAAGAATATATACACGTATCACTGAATCACTTTGCTGTATAGCAGAAATTAACACAGCATTGTAAATCAACTCTACCTCAATGAAGTAAATTTAAAATAAAATAAAAAATAAAATACAACCACCAAATTGCAAAACAAAAAGACGGCTGATCTTGAATAGCCCTCTTATTATCATGACCAAAATATCAGAAGGAGAACATGGAAATCGCTGTGCTTTCAATCGGTCCAAACTGAGGCGATGCTGATCAAACATGCAGCTACCCCGCTTGAGGGGGGTTCTCTGAAAGCAGCAAAGTTTGGCAGGTTCTGTCCAGGAGCCCAGGGAGTTCAGCCACTGTAGTGGAATCATCACCTCCCCGACCTTTTCCCTCCTTGTTCTCAGCCCCAGAGGCTCTCAGTGCTGGGTGTGGGAAAGGGCAGATCACACAGGGTTTTGCAAATTTTTAAGACACGCGCTTTCCTTCAGCTGCCATGGAGTCAACCCCTTGCAAAGGACATGCCTCTCGTCATCTCCGGGTCTTCTTTCTCTCCCTTTTTGCACAGAGCAAAAAGCTTTCGAGAAAGAGCTCCGTTTGCTCCCGACAAGGTCCCTGCCCCAGGCCAGCCTGGTCGGGCGCATCCGGCGTTGCAGCCCTCCTGAGGGGGCCCCATCATCCAGTCACTCACTGAAATGGTACTGAGAAGAACTTTATGCAGAAGGTGCTCAGGGCCTGGCTTTGCTCCAGGATCAGAGCCAGGAAAGGGGCGGGGCAATGGGGGAGGATGGAGTCAGGGCGGGAGGGGAGGACAGGGGTCCCGAGAGGCGAGGCGAGGGCAGCTGCACGCTGCAGGGCTGTGACCAGGGAGGCGCCAGGCTTTGGGCAAGCGAGCTGGGCTGGCGGGTCCTGTGGATGGTTTGCGGATGGTGCTGGGACCGGTACTGCTCTGGCCACCCCGTGAAGAACAGGCTAGAACAGCACAGAGGGAGGCGGCGACCAAGAGAAGGCGAGGGCCAGACCCCGGCCCTGTGACGCTGTCATTTGTCCCCGTGGGCCCCTCACAGCCTCCAACCTCTCCCCCTCTTGCTGCTTTCCTGGTGACAAAGATGACCGTGTCCCGATGGCTGTTCACAGCCTGCCCATCAGCTATACCCAATTCCACCCTCAGAAACGGGGCCAGAGGGACAGGCCCATCCAGAGCCCACACCCTCCCCTCTGGACCACAGTCCAGCTCCCCAGACCCTGGAATTCCCCCTCCTCAAAGTCCCCAAGCGCCCACGCCAGCTCCTGCACAGGCCTCCTCCCTAGTCTGCCCCCCAGAAGGGCAGGTGACACCCCCGGGGTGTACCCCCTGGACAGGGTGGGCAGCCGAGGAGAGGGCTGTTTGCAGGGCGCCACGGACAGAACCTGGACGTGAACTCGGGCTGTCTCCACGTGTGCAAGGCCCTGGCGATGAGGCTCAAGCCCCAGGTCAGAAGGAAGGACGGCGGCCCCACGAGGCCAGTGAGAATGCACAGCCTTTCACCCACTCCAGGTAGCAGGAGAGACTGTCCTGAAGCCCGGCAGGCAGGAGACAAAGACGGGAATTTCATGCCCTGAAATTATAAACAGGGTCTCCTCTACCTACAGGTAGCATCAGTGCTGTTGGTCACCTCCTTCAGATACTCCAGGGGTAGGGCAGGCTGAATAATGTTCCCCAAAGATGTCCACCTCCCAGTCCCTGGGGCCTGTGACTATGCCACCTTAAACGACAAAGGGACCCTGCAGATGTGATTAAGTTAAGGACGTTGAGATGTGGAAATCATCCAAGTGGACGCAGTGTAATCACAGGGTCCTTAAAAGAGGGAGGCAGGAGGTCAGAGAGGAGAGAAGATGCTAATTGCTGGCTCTGCAATTAGCAACTTCTAATAACAGGGAGGGGCTGGGAGCAGCTGCCAGAAGGTGGGGAAGGCAGGGAAGGGTCTCCCCAAACCCTTCCGAAAGGCAGGCAGCTCTGCTGACACCTTGATTTTAGCCCCGTGTGACTCATTTTGGATCTGACCTCCTGAACTGTAAGAGAATACATTTGTTTTATTTCACGTTGGGACAATTTGTTACAGCAACAGTAACAAACTAATTCACAGAACTTCTCACCCTCGGTGCCAATGACAATTTGGGCCACTTATTTCTTTGCTGTGGAGGTGGTCCTGTGCATCGTAGGAGACTTAACAACATCCCCGGCCTCTGCACACGTGATGCTAATAGCCCGCTCCCCGGTCCCAGCCAGCAAAAATGTCTCCAGATTGTCAAATATCTCCTGGGGGCATAGTCACGTACACCGTCCTTCATGCTGACTTTACTCCAACAGACCCTCAGCAAAGCCCCCGGGCGCGCCTGGATTCCCAGCCCATCCGCCACTGAATTCACCAAACCCTGACTTTCACCAAACCCAAGCTTTACAGGTTGAGTTGAACGAAGCACGCTTTGTGCCTCAGAGAACTTGCAGTCAGTGGTCGAGGCAGCTGCGGAAATGCATAATTACATGGCGGTATCTCATTCCTTTACAGCTATGTTCTAAACTCAGAGCAAATGGTAAAAAGCAGCACGGTCAGGGTTAGCCTTGGCCTTTCCTCCAGAGAGTGTCAGGTGGACACACGGGGGCATCTTACATGCCACCAGCACTGGGTACAGATCTGCCACCTCCTGAGAGCCACACGAGGGGCGTGGGTCCCCTTCAGGGCCAGCAATGAGAGAACAGGGCATCTTCCCTCTTCAATTGAGATGTAATTCACATACCATAACATTCACCCTTTTAAAGTATACATTTCAGAGGTGTTGGTACATTCACAAGGTTGTGTAATCATCACACTAATTCCAGAACATTTTCATCACCCCCAGAAGAAACCCCGTATCCACTTCCCACCTCACCAAATAGTCCCAGCCAACCACTGATCTGTGTCCCCTCAGAGTTCTAGACGTTTCCCCCAAATAAGCTACAGATGCAGAGTTAAAATCACTTCCTGATGCAGGAGGGTGGGTGGGTGCAGCACAGCTCTGTTCCATGCGTGTGAAATACAAAGGCTTAATCTAGGTACTAGATTGTAGGAATGCAGGTGATGATTATTTTATTCTTTTATGTTTAAATATGTTTTCCCCACTATGAGAATCCAATAAAATTTTAACACTCAAAAAAAAAAAAAAGCCAAAGAATTCATTCAGCTTAACTCAGTAACATCAATAGCAAATCAACCCACCCATTAAATATTGAAGGAGATCCCAGCTCATCAAGAATGCATGAAGCTATCCAATTACCTGCACCCTGATAAAGCAATTTTCTGACTTAGCTATTCTCCTTATGACAAAGGTCGTTAACCATCTGAAGAACAGCTTAAAATTCATGAAGTTTGAAAAACCAAAGGTAGACACCTCTGGTCTTCAACATAAGCCCAATTTCCATTCCGGAGCGCTGCCTACCATCTCTTGTTCAGCAGTGTTTAACATTCCTAAGAAATGGAAATGCATAATAGGTTTTACAGGATCGCTTCCAGAAACATTCAAATTTTCTTAGTTACTGACTTGTATGCCGCAGAAAGGGTAAAAGCAGCGCCAAGAGCCCTGAATTTTGATGATCTTGAAACTCAGAAGGAGTTTCAACCACATTCTGCTTCGGAATTCCGCAGCCCCTCCTTCACGCTCACCCTCAGGAAAGCGGAAGTGAAGCCCATCCTACCTTTAGGACCTGTTCTAGGTTCTCCAGCTTGGCTTGGAGTTGGTGTTTCTCCTTCACGGCCAAATCGCGTTCTCTGGTCACTATGGTGAGCGTGTGTTTAAGCCGAGCATACTCTGCTTTCACCTACAAGTAGCAAGGATGGAGAGAAGGGGCTGTTTACAACATGCATAGGAGGTGCGGTGGGTATTTGTCCCCAGCTGTCATCTGTCACCTCCCCTTTTTGGAGACTCTTCCCCTCTGTCATCCTCAGTCATGGACTTCGTGGTGGGTCCACTCCTGCTGGGGTGAATACGCGTGACCACAGGCTGGCCAGTCAGCACACAGCCTCCCTCTTCATCCCGCCCATCCTCGCCACGGCCACAGTGATTGGCTCAGGACTGGGAATGTGACCCAGGTCTGGCCAATCAGTGTAATTCCATGCCCCGGATATGGTGATGGGTTGGGGCAGGGTACAGGACCCAGGCGCATCCGCGGAGAATGAGATATTGGCCTTGTGTAGGAATCTGGGAAGAGACTCTCTCTTTTGCCCTCTGGACTTGGAAAGTTGAGGACAAAGGCTGGAGCTACAGTGCCATGTGCCATCATGAGGGAAGAACTCAGCTGAGAATAGAGCCAAGAGATGCCGAGGGAGAAGCAGGGTCCTGATGACATCATTTGAGCACCTAGACCACGCTGTGCCTGAAGCTAACGTTTTCCTTTCCTGTTACTTTTGGGCCAATAGATTCCCTTGGTTTGCTTGTACCAATTTGAATTGTCTTCTGTCCCTTTGAACTGAAAGTCTTAACAGACAAAATGTTACCCAGATTGTCGAGCCATACTAATTCCTGTTGTCTAAAATTTTCACCCCTGTCTTAAAAGTGGACAAAAGTGACAACAAGGCTCCACATGGATTAGAATGATGGGTGTTCCAATAACCTCAGAAATCATGTCCATCCTAAGCCCACAACCCCCAGGACCACATTTAGAACCTATCTGGGAGGCTCCACTAATTCTCAATCTCTCCTCTAGCTTCTTTGAAACAGATAAGGGCAGCCATTGATGAGAGAAGTTACCTGATTTATTTTCCTTTATTTTTCATTGTGCAGCATATTTTAACCCAGCCACAGGATTTTAATTTCTTTCCCTCCTCCCCAAACATTACAACATGAATTACGTCTTCAGTAACAGACTGTCACAGAGTCATGTGTGTGTTTGTTTTTTTAGCTACGAAAGTCCTGTTTCAAACGCTTTAGGTACAGAGTGTTCGTTTAACCTTACAATTTCTGTGGCACAGAAAGAGAGGAAGGCACCCACTTGGCATTCCTAAATGGAACAGGGTTACATGGAAGCTGTTATTAAGAGGTCGTAGAGAGATCTGATTCACAGAGGTGTTTTCATGCCATTTTGCTACAGCATGATGCATCAGGCAATGAACGTGGGGAAAAATTCAAATGCTCCCTTGTGAAAATGTCATGACCTATAGGAATTAAGCAGTACCCACACTTGAACCTCAACACTGGGTTTGCTGAAAAGCCATCACTTCTCATGCTCTGGCTAATCAAGGAAACTAGACTTGGGACTAGTGTTCGAATACCCCAAGTCCAGTCTCATACAGTAGCCAGCATAAGCTCTCCGGAATAGAAATCAGATCTTGCTGCTTCCTGATTGAAACCTCCCGGGGCTGCCATGGAAATCAGAATAAAATCCAAACTCCTGATGTGGCCCCAAAGTCCTGTAGCATCTTGCCCACCCACCTCTCTGATCTGACCCGCAACTATTCACCCTGCTCAGCCACCCTGGCCTCTTTTTGTCCCTTGAACAAGCCAAGCTTATTCCCGCCCCAGGGCCTTTGCACGTGCTCTTCCCATTGGGGCATCCCTACCCAGCTCCCACTCCACCCTCCGTCTCTGCCAGTCTGGCTCCTTCTCATCAATTATGTCACTACTCAGACAAGCCCTCGGGTACCAAAATCCTCCCCACCTGTCTGCCTCCTTTCCCCTCACTGCTTTGCCCTGCTTTATTTTCCACGGGCGTTTATCATTACGTGAAATTATCCTGTGAGCTGTTTACGTTTTTCTTGGGGTTTCTCCTCATTAGAATGTAAGCTCCGATGGGAAAGGAGTTTTCTTTTGTGATCCGATTCTCTGTCGTCAGACAGGAGAAGCAGAGTGAACAGCCAAAGTCCACGTAAGTCAGGTGTTTCCAAGAAACTCAGATTCACGCGTTGTAGGGAAGCCTCCGACTTGGGTTTCAGGCTCCGTTTGCTGACCTCATTTATTTCCGTACATTTAGCTTTTATCCAGTCCCTTATAAGAGCACCGGGCAGTCAGGAATCACCCTCCCGAGGGCACTGACCAGGCCTTTGGCCAAGAATAGCCAATCCCCAGCCTGCAGAGAGACCACAACCCAGATGTGAATCTGGTAACTGACTGGCAGGCACCAGACCTGCTCTCCCACAGGGATGTTGCCAACGGTGGTTAGGACAGACATTAGAGGGTCAGGCCCACCCATAAATCCCGCTTACCCCACATGGAGCTAAAATGCTGTGCTTTTGTTGTGGGAAATACTGTGTTCATTGTATATAGTAACTTAACAGAAAGCAATACTGTTGGGGGAAAGAAGCAAGCTTTATTTGTCTTGAAGACAACGCTTTAAAGGATAGCAGCTGTGGACGAGGAAGAATCTGCCAGAGGACTTCTGGGCAACTAAAAGGCTCCGGAAGTCGTTGGCATTTGCACTTTAATACATCTAATATACTTCATCTCATGCCAAGATTGTGGTTTTGCATTTCTTTGACTTAAAATTTTCCATTGTGTCCCCTTTATGGTTCTCGGAATGATTAAGGTCACTTCCCTGGTTTGCAACAATGGAGAGAAAGTCTGCTGGTAAGGAGACAAAAGGATAGATTTGGGGAGAGACTGAGGTAGGCTGAATAAAGAAAGACCCCACAAGGACGTGCACATCCTAACCCTGGAGCCTGTGAATGTTACCTTACATGGCAAAAATGACTTGGAAGGCGGTGATTAAGATAAGGACCTTGAGATGCGGAGATTGTCCTGGATTATCCTGGGGGGTCCAGTGTAGCAATGACAAGGGTCCTGATGAGAAGAAGGCGGAGAATCGGGTCAGAAAAGAGAGATTTTAAAGATGCTGTACTGCCGGGTTTGGACAGGGAGGAAGGGGCCATGAGTCCAGGAATGCGGGCGCCTCTAGGAGCTGGAAAAGCTGAGAACGCAATTCTCTCCTGGAGCCTCCAGAAGGAAGGAGCCCTGCCGACACCTTGATTCTAGGACTTCTGACACCGACCAGTCTGGTTCCAGTGACTCCACAATTAAGAAAGGAAAAGTAAAAGAAAGTGTTGGCAACGTGAGGTTACATTGGTCTCGGAAACTCACATGAAAAATACCTGTGTGTGAAAATCTCTGATCTCTCCCAAGAAATGAAAATTCTCCACTGTCACTGGTCACATCACCCTCCAGCTCAGCTCCCTTAACTCGCCCACACCCACCTAAATGGCCCTTAGTAACGCTCCCCATTGCTTTTCGAGGTGTGGCATCTCTTTCCCGCAGGGACCCAGACTGAGATGCCGCGTGACCCCATTCTCCGTGACAGGCCAGCGGGAGTCTCTGGGGGGCAATGACCCCACGTGAACACGATGCTTTAGAAGAAAGGCTGGGCTGCTCCAGCTGCAGCGAGGATGGGACCCTCAGCAATGCTGCAGTGACCACAAGAGCCGCAGTCCCTGCGGGACGGCGTTGCAGGGGAGCAGGAGCCCGTGTCCCCAACCGTCTCCAGCAGGTGCCTCTGCCCTGGGCTCTGGAACTTCTGGTCGCATGAGAACAAGAATGCCCCCTGGGTGTTTACGTCACCCAGCCTGGGTCCCTGCTACCTGCAGCTGAAAGAACCGCAGCTGACTCTCGCAGAGAAGGGGGCTCTCTCTGATTTGGTAACAGCCGATCCTGTCTGGAAACAGGACTGAGGCTCCAAACAAAAAACGCTCTAAATGTCGACTCAACGGGCTGCTTGCAGCGCTGGAGTCTCAGGACCTCACGCCACTGCCCAGCCGGCCTTTCCAGCCCTGCCCGTCCCTGGAGCCTTGGAAGAGAGGCCCATCGGCTTACAAGTCCCTGGTCCCCGGCTGCCCAGTGTCCGGAGCTCAAAGCCGGTCACCTTCATGACCAGAGAACCCCATAGAGCCAAACCTGTGTCCTGGCACCTGGACTAGAACATTCTCCTGGGAATCAGCCAGGTTATCTACTGAAGGAAAAGGAAGTCTCGGACTAGCAGAAAGGATGGGAGAGATTTTCACTAAGATCTATAAACTCCCCTCCTTCACAACAAAGAAAAAGAGTTCCCAGATGTTCAAGCTTAAGAGCCCAGACAATTCCTCCTAAGGTGGAAAGCTAAGAACAGTGGACCCTTACAAGATTTTGTTGTTTAATAAAGGAAAAATAGATAATGATACTCAGGTGTGCCTGCTGGGCTTTTCCAGCCAAAGGTATGTGGCTCCACGAATCCCAAACGTCCACGTGTGGCAGCCGACAGATGCCCAGTTTTCTCAGTAATGCAAGGAAGAAGGGAGACCACCAGCTAGGGGGTGGCACGACCACTGTTCATACCAGTCATCTGTGACCGAACCCGGAATTCCAGCCAACCTCAGATTTCTGGCCAGCAGGTGAAAAGAGTTCACAGGTCATAGGTTCACAGGTCATGAACTTAACACCCCACACAGTACCTGGCTTCAGAACATGGGTACCACCGTGTCCTGCTTGCTGCCCGGGACCTCCCACCGCACACAGACACAGCGGCGCATTCCTGACTCAGGCACCAGATCCGGCCACTCGACTCGTCTCTATATCAAAATACAGATTTCGGTGGCAGCCACAGCAGCACCAGGTGGGAAAGTAGCTTAAAACATTTGGCAACAGTTACTCAGTGAGAAAGTAGCCTGAACCTCCAGTTAGCTACCAGAACAGCTGCCCAGTTTGGGCGGGGGGGAGCTTAATGGGCTCCTTTGAACCCAGGCAAGTAAGAAATTTGAAATCAGTTTAAAAAACAAAAAACGTTTGGTTTGCAGGCTTCGAGGGCATTGACCCCATCCTTTGCGCTGTGTCCTGCATTCCCAGCTCATTTGTTTCCTTCCACAGGGCTGCCTGCCCAAGGGAATTCAATGCAATATTCCAGATAGTCCAATATCCAATTTTGCACCTAAGAGGCAATCCCTTCTGGGCAGGCTTCAGGGAACACACTGACTGCATCCCTTTGCCTCAATAATTAAGAGCTTTGATCATTAAATTTGCTTACTTAATCAAGGCGACTAAAAAGCAGACTGCACATCCAAGCCCGAATCAGCTGGGGGAACTGGGAATTCCCAGACGTCTTCCAGAGAACCAGGAAGGTTCCTTGTGTTTCTACAGGTCACAGGGGTGGCCCCCCAGTGGATCTGGTGCTGTGGTTGTATGTTTTCAGCAGCAGCACAAACCGACCTGCCCCTCGCACATCCCCAAGTTACCCTGGGACACAGACGCCGGTCCCTGAGGGCAGTCTTTTTTTTTTCTTTAACATCTTTATTGGAGTATAATTGCTTTACAATGGTGTGTTAGTTTCTGCTTTATAACAAAGTGAATCAGCTACACATATACTTATATCCCCATATCTCCTCCCTCTTGGGAGTCTTTTAATGCTGAAGGGAGCTCATTTTCTGGGCCTTGAAGCTTTGTTTAAAAGGCCACAGCGGGGCTTCCCTGGTGGCGCAGTGGTTAGGAATCCACCTGCCAATGCAGGGGACACGGGTTCGAGCCCTGGGCCGGGAAGATCCCACACGCCGCAGACCAACTAAGCCCGTGCGCCACAACTACTGAGCCTGCGCTCTAGAGCCCGCAAGCCACAACTACTGAGCCCACGAGCCACAACTACTGAAGCCCGCGCACCTAGAGCCCGAGCTCCGCAACAAGAGAAGCCACCAAAATGAGAAGCCCGCAGACTGCAACAAAGAGTTGCCCAGGCTCGCTGCAACTAGAGAAAGCCCGTGCGCATCAACGAAGACCCAACGCAGCCAAAAATAAATAAATAAATAAATTTATAAAAGGCCATAGTGTGGAGGCAGCAGGGGAACAAGTGTCAAATCTTAAAGTGAAAAAATAATGTCGGACTTGGTGAGAGTTCTATGGGAGCAGGGGTGCCCCTCGGGGTAGCTAGAGAGCCAGGTCTGGGAACGAGACGGTGGTGGTACCCACCACCTGGGTCTGCCATCACCAAGCAGGGACCACACTCCGGGTGTAGGAACCCAGCTTAGGAGCAGACAGACGTGCACATGGAGTGATCTGAGCGAAAGAGAGAAAGCCAAAAAAAAAAGGAAAAAGAGGAAGAAAGAGAGAAAGCCATCCCAGCATCAACCCTTCCTCTGGCCAGCTTGCCCAGCCCTGTCGTCAGCCCGCCTCTGATGCCGAAAGCACCACCATTTTCTTCATCTTTGTTCCTGTTTAAATAAAAAGACTCTTGGGCTGAGAAGGTCACTAAGCCTCATTATGGATTCACACTTCAGCGTGAGTGAGTTTATCAGAGACTTTCCTGTTTGGAAGGAAAAAGGACAGAGGACACAGGGCCTGGCAGGAATAGGGGGCAAGGGGAACTAAAGGGAGAGTTGGGGGTGTAGAAAAAACACATCATTGTTTTAATCGTGGTAAAATACTCATGACATAAAATTTAACGTCCTCACCATTTTTAAGTGTACAGCTCAGTGACATAAAGTACGGTCACACAGTTGTGCAATCATCACCACCAGAACTTTCTCATCTTCCCAAACTGAAACTCTGTCCCCATTGGACACTAACTCCCCATCCCCCACTCCAGCCCCAGCACCCACCATCCTGCTTTCTGTCTCTAGGAATCTGACTGCTCTAGGGACTTTATATAAGTAGAATCCTACAGTATTTGTCCTTCTGTGACTGCCTTTTCACTGAGCATAATGTCCTCAAGGTTCACCCGTGTTGCAGCACCGCTGTCAGGACTTCCTTCCTTTAAAGGCTAATAGTCCATCGTATGTATATACCACCTTTTGTTATCCGTTCATTTGTAGATGGACACGGTGGCCTCCACATTTTGGCTATTGGGAATAATGCTGCTATGAACAGGGGTGGACAAATAGTTCTTCTCAATCCTGCTTTTCATTCTTTTGGGTGTATCTCCAGAAGTGGAATTGCTGGCTCATGGTGTGACTCCATTTTTAATTTGCTAAGGATCTGCCATCCTGTTCTCTGTAGTCCCTGCACCATTTTACATTCCCACCAACACTTGCTATTTTCTGAAAAGCACAACTTTTTTGGGGGGGGGGTGGAAAGAAAAAAAAAAAAGGCCAAATGGGAAGGCAGGAAAATAAGTATGAAATCAAGAAAGCTCTAATTTTTATAGTAAACTGAAATATGCTTTAGTAAATCTGTGAAATTAGCGACTCCAAACCACCAACCAATCGTTAACTAATACTTACTCTGAGCACCACTGTGTCCTGTTAGATCAGGTTCTGGGGATACAGTGATGGATATGAAGGCAAAGACCTCTGCTACCTGGGAGGTGACACTCTTACGGGGGGTGGGGGGACAGACACACACATTAGTGAAGACACATGATCGACCAAGTAATAACAGACACAGGAGGACAAAAGCCAGGTGAAGCCACATGGTTAGAAGGAGGAGGACGGAGGGACGCAGGTGGGAAGCAGGGAAGGTCTAGCTGAGGACGTGACTCTTAGGCTGACATGTGAAGAGCGAGAAGCTGACGGCCATTGGAAAAGGAGGGAGTAGAGCTCTAAGCAGGGAAAGTCATGGCCTGCCCGGCAGGCTTGGTGGTCAGAGGAGTAAAAAGAAGGTCAGCGTGGACAGAACTCCAGGAATCAAAGGTCGAGAGGCAGGTGACAAGGCTGAGCAAGGTGGCGGCCGTGGGGAAGAGCTGCATTCCTATTTGGGGAGGAAGTGTCCGCAGAGGGGCAACACCGTCTGGCTTGAATCACCAGATCACTCTTGATCCTGCCGGAAAATGACTGTCGGATGTCAGGAAGGGTGGTAAGCAGGCCGTTTCAGCATCTGGGCCAGAGAAGATGGCGGCCTGCATTGGTGGGACACAGTGGGGATGGGCTGTTCAGAGTGAGGTGCGGGGGTGACGAAAGGAAGAATCCTGCACCGCTCCCAGCATCTTGGCCTGAGCAGCTGGGCGATGGCCAGTCACTGGGATGAGAAAACTAGGAGAGGCAATGGTTTGGGGATCGGACATGGGAAGTTTTGCTCTGGCCCCGAGGTGAGCGAATAGACGTCTAAGTAGGGATACCTAGCAGACAGCAAACGAGACATTTCCCAAGTGCTTCGTGCAGCAGCCACATGATGAAATATAAGAGGCGGGACCCAGGGTCCCGGCCGCCCTCCTTTGGGTGGCCTGCAGTGAATCATCCCCCTCCACCTTCCCCAGGTCCCTGCCTGACAGCCCCCCTCCCGGTGGCCCATCAATAGTGGCTGTCGGTTACCTTGTCCAGCTGCCGGGCCCTTGCGGGAAGGCCTGCATGATGGGGTCTCAGGCGATGGTCTCCTTGGGCAGCATCCTTCAGTGCATTTTCCTAGAACAAAAGGAAAGGGCATCGTGAGATGAAGCCCCAACCTCCAGAGGCACGTGGAACACAGTGGTGACGGGTTTTGATTTGAAATTCGACGTGGGTTGGGTGTGGCTCTGCGATTCACAAGGCTTGTGGTACTGGATCGGTTTCTTCTCTTCTTTCTGAGCCATGAGTTTCCTACTCTATAAAACGGGAGGAATGATACTTTACGATGATGTTACAAGCAGATGATAAAATGATCTCTATAAAGCCTGTGGTGAAGTGTCCGGCAGATGATTCACGTCCGATACACAGTGTGCTGACCTGCATTACACGTCTGTGTCCTAAACAGGCAACAGAACTGCTCTCCAGCTGGAGTTTATGTCAAGCTTTGACCCGCCCCCTCTCCTCACAAACACTGCTCCAAACACGTTGCCATAAGAAACAGTAGATAACTGTCTTGCTCCAAAAGAAGATAAAAATCTACGAGGACTGTGGATGGCCTGGAACACGTGTGGTGGTGGAACTCCCAGGACCCGCCAGACTCTGGGTCCAGAAATGGGCAGAGAGAATGAGGACCCCAATTTTTCTTGCTACGCAGGACTGGAAGCATCCCACTTGAGGCTAGAGACCTGAGCAAAGGTCACCCACCTGACCCGAGACTGAGGTCAAGTCCCCAACCCCCAAAGAAGGCTGCCCAGAGCTCTAGCTCACATAAGGGAATTCCCTGGAGAGGCAGAGGGACCAGACCCCCTGGCTCAGTGATATCACCTGTGCAGGAAATCTGAGCTACCAGTAGTAAAACTGGGAGTGTCCACAGGGTGGGGTAGGACTACAAAGAAGATGAGCACAGAAAGAGATAGATTGGGGGTAAAAATGTCCCATGAAGGTGAGTCTGAAAATAGAAATTCCAAAACACAGAAAGAAAACTCACACTACTGAAGAGATTTAACAAAACCGGTAACCAGGGTGAACTGACTCCAGAAGAAATAAAAATGACAAAGCAACCTGACAATGACATCAGTGAGCAAAGTTGAGGGTCCTCGCAAAGGTAAAGGAAGGGATGACGTCCATTCAGAAAGCATAAGGAAGCAGCAGCAGGGACGATTAGTGGCCCACTGTGGAAGGTGACGGCAACGGCCACCAGTAGTCAGGTCTGCGGTTTTCTTGTTGGCTTGAAAACAAGTGTGTTCTCTGCTCACCTCCTAGGTGAGTTACTATCTGGGGAGCACCCACGTCTGAACTGACCTGGGAATCTCCTCTGCAATACTTTGAGAGTTCTGAATTTGGGCTCATTCACACTCGCGATAGGAAAGGGGCAGGAATCACACGGTTTTGAACACCTCCCACAAGAAGAAAGGCTCCTCCTGGCTGTTTTCAGGTCCCGTATTTCAGTCAAGCCCCCTTCCCCTCGGCCACCGTCGTTAGGATCTCCCCCTCTCCATGGCATCCCCCAGGTTTCCACGGTGCTGAAGCACAAGGACACAGTCTCCACGCGCCTCACCCGTGGGGTCTGGTTCTGGAAAACAATGATCCCCAACCTGTGGGAAAGTGCCTCCCTCCTCTGAGATGTCCCCAGCGGCATAAATTCATGGTTGTCTTTCTTAAGTCAAGCAGTTACAGTGGAGTCCCCTGCCAGCTCCTTGAAGAACCTGGAGACATTCTGAGATGTGCCACGTGTGAGAGTCACCAGCAATCACAGGGATGGGTGCACTGATCCAGACACCTGACTCCTGGCCTTGGAGGGCTTGGATGCCCCAAGGTGAACTACGGTGGCCATGTCTCAGGGAGTTACAGGAGCAACTTTAAACAGGGTTAGAATGTCAGTTCTGAGGTCAAACTGGCTAAATACAAACTCTAGCTCCTCTGTGTGTTAAGTCCTGTGACCTCTGGCAGGTTGTCCGACATCTCTACACTCTCTAAGACGGAAGGATGTAAAAGCGTCTACCCAAGCAGCCTTTGGGAGGATTAAAGGAGATGGTTCTCAGAGAGCACCAAGCACTTCCCTGTGCACAACGGCAGCTCAAGCAGGGGTCCCCTTCCCCACTGGAGGCACCACTGTCACTGTCCACACCTTCCGCATTCTGCCATATCCACCATCACCTCCCTCTGCAACTCCCCTAGAAAAGTGGATTGCAAGAAGGGAACATCGGGAAGAGAAGCATTGCCAACTCTTTCATCCAGTTTTACGGTGGTTGTAGAAAAGTTACATTCATCTATTTTATCTATATTCCATCTCAGTGACTCGAGGTCAGCTGCTGAACCTGATAAAATCAATCTTCACAAGAAAAAAAGCCCAGGATCTAAATCCAGTCCGGGAAGCACCGATCCACAGTGTCACCAGGCAAAAGGGGGGACACGTGGCCATCGCTCCCCCAAATCAGTCCAAGCACGAATCCACAATTGGGGTACAGCTTACTATACTGGTTCCACCAACCGAGAGGAGCTGGAACAGAAAGAGCTGCTGAAGAGCAAACTCATCCCCAGACGAACAATCCTGCACCCCACAGAAAACTCCCCAGCAGAAGGCAAAGCCCCTCATACAGTGATGCTGAAAGAACCCATTCAGCAATCAACACGTCCAGGTAAAAGCCCAAAGACGGGTGAGGATGCCACTTAAGCCACACAGACTATGCGATTTCTTTGCCAGATTATAGCATCTCATTTATCCAGACTTGCCGATCGCCCCTGAAACAGCCGAGAGGCGAGCATGGGGCAGGGGGCACATGTGGTCTCGCCCTCAGTGTTGCGGTGACAGCAGACATCGGTCCTCCCGCCCTTTGGAGTAACAGAGCACGGATGCTCCTCAGACATGCATGCATCTTGCGTTGCTCAGGGGAAAATTCAGAAAAAGCCTACTGCTCACGCTTCCAGTCCTATTAAGATCTGAGAAGCAACAAGACTTACCCTGGAAGCTTTCATCATTGACACCGTGCAGGACCAGAGCTGCCCACCCGGGGAAGCTGTCACCGCTCCAATTAAATCTAGCCCTTCTGGATAAATCAGTGTCACCAAAGCAGGGCTGCCAAGCAAGAGACGGAACACCTCACGTACTGGTCGCATGCTTGAGACCAGAAGGCCCCCCAAAGATGTGGGCTTTTAGTTGCAACACGACAAAATGAGACTCGCCAACAGGCGCGGGTGCACAAGCTATGACAATTCACAGGAGGAGGGGGACGGTGGGGACTTAATATAATCTGACACTCCTGCTGAGTGACGAGGTTTTTCACAGCCTGGGGTAAGGCGGCCGGCCACACCAGCGCCCAGATCACAGGTGTGCACACACATCTCCCCCCGCTACAGTGTGAGCCGCGCCACACTGGCTTGCCCTGTGCTGGGGGTTTGACACTGTTGACTACTGACCACATCTGAGGGCCCAGGAATTGAATCTGACAGCCCACGCCCACCGCCTGGAGATGCAAAGCCAGTGACTCATGCATTACTAGGACTGTGATATCAAAGAACTTTCCGAACACCAGCTGTATGAAATCACCCTTGAAGCTCAGTCTTCTCGACCTGAAATGACGATTGTTAAGAGAGAAAAACCAGCCTCTGTGTATCTGTTCACTTCGTCGGAAATGGTACAGCTTTCCTGTCCTTGGGAGATTCTCAATGTCGTGATGGGAGCAGATTGAGTCTTGGATACTTTACATTTAAAGCCATCCAAGTAAGAGGGTTTAGGATTCACCAAACAGTGGATGCATGAGACAGGGTCTACGCTGTAGGAATCCAAACACACAGTTTGTCGAATCTAGTTGTCTGCAACCACAGATAGAAAAGGGCACAGTCCTTATTTCCACTTTGTAGATGAACATTTGGAGGTTAGGACCAGCTCCCAGAAGGCTGATCAGAGAGCTCTGGTACTGAGCTGAGGACACCTGGGGCCAGTTAGCCCTGAAGCCTGAGTCATGGGAGTGAGTGCCATCTGCCAGTGAGACTAAAGGGAGGACCCAGGACAGAGTGAGAGAAACACAGATATTACAATGGGCAGAAGAGCCTCCTGCAAAGGGCTGGGCAGGAGTGATGGGAAAAAAGGAGTGTGACGTCCTGTAAGCTAAGGAAGCACAAGCTTGAGGATGAGGGTCCACAGCATCAAATGCTGCCCAAGCCGGGTGAGGACCACAGGGCAGACGCGGTCTTAGTGGGCGCAGCATTGAAGACGTCCCCCATGACCTTCAAGAGAGGTGCTGAGAGAGAACCCTCCTACGCTCTTGATGGGAATGTAAGTTGGTGCAGCCACTATGGAGAACAGTATGGAGGTTGCTCAAAAATCTAAAAATGGAGCTACCATATGGTCCAGCGATCCTACTCCTGGGCATATATCCGGAGAAAACTCTAATTCAAAAAGACACACGCATCCCAGTGTTCATAGCGGCACTATTCACAATAGCCAAGATACGGAAACAACCTAAATGTCCATCGACAGATGAATGGATAAAGAGGATGCGGTGCATATATACAATGGAATATTACTCAGCCATAGAAAAGAATGAAATAATGCCATTTGCAGCTACATGGATGGACCTAGAAATGATCATACTAAGTGAACTAAGTCAGACAGAGAAAGACAAATATCATAGGATAGCACTTCTATGTGGAATCTATAAAAAAAAAATGATACGAATGAACTTATTTACAAAACAGAAATAGACTTACAGACAGAGAGAACAGACTTATGGTTACCAAAGGGGAAGGGAGGGAGGGATAAATTAGGAATTTGGGATTAGCAGATACACACTACTATATAGGTAAAACAGATAAATAACAAGGATCTACTGTGTGGCACAGGGAACCATACTCAGGATCTTATAATAACCTACAATGGAAAAGAATCTGAAAAAGAATATATGTGCACAACTGAATCACTTTGCTGCACACCTGAAACATTGTAAATTACCTCTACTTCAAAAAAATAGAAAGTTTTAAAAAGTTTTCAAAAATAAAATAAAAATACAAAGACAGGT